ATCTATCTATCTATCTATCTATCTATCTATCTATCTATCTATCTATCTTGTGGCTTCTACTCAAAAGCTGTCCTTTCACCTCTATATTATGCATACACATTGATGTCAAGGCCTAGCCCAAAGAACTCCAAGAGACCATGTAAATTCAGTCCAGGTATGTTTATTAGCTACAACCTCTAGCAAGAATCTTCCCAGACTAAAACCCCAGTCCCCAAAGTCCTCCAGCCACAACAATGTGAATTCCTCAGGGAGGTGCCAGTCTCATCCTCTTGTTCTTCCCACGCTGTTTTGGCGAGCTAAGAAAATGTTTATCTCCCCGAGCCTGGCCTTCATAATTCCACTCCATCACAGCAACCCAGACCTTGTACAGTAGTCTTATTTCCCACAAATAGTGTGCTTTTTGGCAGTCCTTAATTAAGTTGGCTAAAGATTATAATTGCTAGGAATGAGTTACGAGGATAATCAGTTTGGGAACATTGCAGTGGGAAAGTGATAATCTGAATGTTCATTTTTGCTGTTGTTTAGGGCAGCCTGTTTAGCAAGCATCTGGACCCTATTGTCAATACAGTGGCTCAGATCCTAAGGAAAACCTATCCAAAGATGCCCCTTCCTTCAGCTGCAATTATCAGTTCCTATTCCTTTCCCATTCCTGGGAGAACGGAATCTTCACTTCCCAGGCCTGAAGGTAAATTGTTACAATACCCCAAGTAGAAAAGGAAAAGGATAGGATTCTCCTTGTCTCCTATGTTCAGGCTGCAAGGGTTGATCTTTATGTAGTGCACAACGTTCTCCCTTGTGCCATGAAAGAATAGCAGCACAATGTATTGTCGAAGGCTTTCATGGCCAGAATACAATGGCTGGTGTGGGTCTTCCGGGCTGTATGGCCATGTTCTGGAAGTTTTGTTTCCTAACGTTTCACCAGCATCTGTGACCGGCATCTTCGGAGGTCAGGAGCACAGACAGGAGCAGTTCTCTCTGTGCCCAGGATGATGTGACCCTTTTTGGGTATTTATAGAGATC